TATTAGGGTAGGTAACACATGCAGGCCAGGTGAGAGACAGGTAGGAGAGTGAGTTGGAGAGAGACATTTTGGGTGCTGTCCAGTAGGACTGCCTGGATGGGCTAGAAGCCTTGGTAGAAAGAGGCTGGAGGTATATCACTAGATGCCCACTGAAAAAGAGAAAAGATCTCCTTAAGCAACCACAGTTGGAGTGCACCACCCCCAAACAAGTAAGACCTAGCCTTATTTTTTTCTTACTCCCCAAGTTTTATCTGTGAAGGGAGCAAACCCAGCACCTGTCAGGAGGGAAAAAAAGTGAGTCCATAGAGAAGGAAACAGACGGTTATGTCCCAATCTCAATGCAGACTTACAGCCTCAAGGCAAATCCATGGTATGGATCTTACACCATCCATTCAGTGCTTTCATTATTTCATGTGTTGGGCATTTTAATGTCTGAAATGAGACTCTTTATAATCAAGCCTTTTTTTTAACAACAAAAATAATTTTATGATTTGAGAGTGACTAAAAAGTCATGGGTTTGACCAAGTCTTCAGCTTGAGGCAGGGGAAGATTCCTTCCACCATTCAGTAGGATGTTTAAAGGAACTGTGAGAGACAAAAATAAATTTGTGTTATGATCAAAATTCATATGAGTCATGCTTGTTCAGCATTCTGGTTACACAGGAAAAGATGAAGTATCGGTACTCCGGTATTCACATGATGAGTGCTTTCTGCTTTTTGTGCGTTTGAAGCAGGAAATGGCTGAGAAGTCCCCTTGGAATCTACTTGTGTCTTAGTGTTCTGATGCTAATGAGTATCAGCATGTTTTTATTTACTAAAGTTCCTAAAATTCAGCAAGACTGTCTGAAGTGTGCATTCCACATCTAAGGCTTAATCGGGTGTCCTCATGTATTATACTGTAAACTGCAGATCCTTGTTTTCATAAGGAAAATCTAAGTGACATGTCATGCTTGTAATGAGGCTGGAAGCAAGGGTGATGTTAAAATATTTAGTGGCTGGTACACTATTGTAAGTTAACATACATACTAGAAAACTTGCTTTTATTCTCTAAGCAATGTCAATTATAAAACTGCTTATTTAGTGATGTGTGTTGTAGTGCAAATAGCTCATGGTATTTTCCTAGAAATTTCCAAATAAATTGTCGATTTTCAGAAATTTTTAGTTGGTCTTTGCCTGATATAAATGTCGCTTGCTACTTTTTTTTGTATGAGCCATAAGTTGATGCACCGAACCACATAAAATTCTTCCAATGACTTCTAATTTAATTGATTGTCATTGGATGACTTGTATTTACTGAAAAAAGGGGATTTCTCCTTACATAAATGATATTGTTTATTATTCATAAACCTATTTTATCCTTTGCTGAATAGCAAATATACAAACATTTTTCTAGCCCTTGTAATACTGAGATATAGTATGGTATTATATACTATGTATTCTGTATTATTATTAACTGTCATAAAAATGGTTTATTAGAATATTTAATTAGGTTAAAACTAATCCATTAGATGAAACATCTATTTTTGAGCTGTTTGGGTTAAAATTCTATCTCTGCCATTAAATTTTAAATGACCTAAGCCCCAGTTTCCTCATCTGTAAAATGGCGATGCTGAGAAATACAGTGCTATTAAGAGTTAACATATGTTTTTAAGGGTGCCTGGCACAATCACTAAAAAAGTATAAAATTAAAATTGTTAATACCCACATCAGTTGGGGTTTCGGTGGGTTTAAAATGGAGGTGACTATTAACATGAATCATAAAAACTCCCTACCTTAGGCATCTGTTAGCCCAACTCACCTCATAGGGCCTATCTATTACAACATCCTTCTGTTTGTGGCCTCAGGAACCTGTATTACCTTCTTAGTTCCTGTTGTCCATCTTTTATATTATGCTGAGTTCAAGCCCTGTGGTGACTAGTTTTCAAAAACAACCACGAGAGAGGTTCTTGGAGGACTAGAGACTGACAACAGGTGACCATAGTCAAGGTATGGTTATATGTGCACCAAGTATTTGTCTACCAGCATGTCACCAAAGGCAGTGTCTCCTCCGAGGCGGTTGCAGTCTCCTTCTGACTTGGTTGGGGGTGTGTAATGCAGAGATGGGGTAGGCAAATAAGAGCTGTGGCAGGCTATCTGATAGGAAAGCAGACTGCTAGGTGCCAGTGTAGACCTCCTATGCTGCCCATCTGGATTTCCTGCAACAGTTGTTAAGGCACAAGCTAGTTCAGGAGACTTTGGGGGACAGTAGCCACTGGTGATGACCAGAAGCCAGGACTTCGGTGGGACTGGAGCAGGATCTTGAAGGCTTTCTGCTCTGTCTTCGTATATGCTGGAATTGGAGGACATTTGTGGAGCACAGAATACATTTGGGTGGCCAACGTGGGCATTGGTAAGGGGGAAGAGGCTTGAGTAGCGAGTCCTTCAATATTGCAACAATTTATTCAATTGAATAACATGTATGTTGCCTGAAGATCAGCCTTGGGTTCAAGAAGTTGGCTTGTCTAGAGAGTTTCCTAGCTATGCCTTTCTTAGTTCCTAAAAGGAATAGGTAAGTATCCTATATGTTGAGTCCTACTGAGTAAGATAATAGTTTTTATCATTTCTCACTTGACAATGAGATCTTTATCATAGGTGGCATGACAAGGAAACTAACTCCACTCCAGTTTTTTTTCCCCTTGATTTAATGATAAATATAGGGGGTATGCAGAACATTAAATATGTTTATCATGGACACCGTAACAGTTACTACTGTAAATAAACATGCTTTTTAAAGGTCTTTCCCCTCTCTTTTTTGAGACAGGACAAAAACTATAAATGCTGGTGTATCCTCAGTTCTCCATCACACTGAGGATTCTAGTCTAACCTGCTCAACTTCCTGGCTCCAGAATTAGGGGCTCTAGGATTTTGGGCTTTTGTTTCATAAGATGAGGAAAATATTGGAGAGAAAGACAAGTGCACCTAGGTCAAGGGTAATAAACTCTAAGTCTATAGTTTAATACTTATTGTAAAGAATGAAAGAAGAGGGCTGGGAATAATATTGAGCAGAGCTGGGCATGGTGGCCAAGTCAAGGGAAAAAACACCATCTCAGAGGTACCCATGGGCAGCTGCAGGCAATAAGAGCGAAGATTCAAATCTGGGATGTACGTGTGTGAAATTTCTGAAATTTGAAAACACTTTGCAAGCCAAATAAAGCCTGTCTGGAGGCCACAGTTTTATTACATCAACTGAGGCCTGGGGCAGAGATTGTCTCAAATTTAAGGGAGTAGAAGTGGGAACAACTGAGGCATATTTGTGGGGGAATGACATACGGGGGGAAAGGGGACTTTAAGGAGAGTGTCTATGACGGTGCTTCATCATGTTCAAAAAAACTAGGGAAAGGCTGAATATTTTGAAACAATTTTAGCTTTCTAGACTGTATACTTTTGACAGTTTTCTAGTCCTAAATTCTTGAAGTCACAGGTCTAACAAGTGCCACATCATAAACAAGAAGGGGAACATTCATCTTTCTGTAAGTTACATTCAATGTGATCCTGTCATCCTCCCTTATTTATCAGTTATTTGTGTCTGTCAAGGCAAATAAACCTTTCCTTGCCTTGTTAACTAATAAAAAAGAAAACCAATTTTGTGGTGATTCATGCTACTGGACAAATTTAATCCTTGTGGTTTGAAGACTCTGAAGGACAACATGTGTGCTGATTTTAAGGAATTATTAAAGGGAGACACTAATAATTCTTTCTGGGTTCTACAAAATCTGCATTATTACCAAAGGGAGACTGAGAAGTGAGGCCATTGATAAGAGAAGTAGGTTTTAGCCAGATTTAAATGGTCTGAGGGCTGGAAAACCTCTAATATAGACAGAAATATTTCTTTTACCGGTCACAGCTTTCTATGTCTTGGTTCCCAGCTTGCCATCAGAGGTAGGGATGCTTTCTGAAATAGTATTTGGGATAATTTTTATCTGTTAGTGGCCTGCAATTGAACTCTTTCTCCTTAAACACATTAGCAGGGACTGAATGAGCTGAGTGTTTCTGAAATGTTTGAGTTGCAGATGAATCACTTGGGGGAATGTTAGTAAATTGGTCTGGGGTGGAGCCTGGGAATTTGTATTTTTATCAAGCTCCCTGGTGAAGTTTGAGCATAATCTGAGCAGTAAGGAGCTAAAAGATGAATAGGGTGCAGCTATACCACATATTTATTTTTGTGGCCTGTACAGCCTGTACAGCATCAATTCCGCTCTCCTGGCAGGAGTAGCCTGAATTAACTTTGAAGGGAACATTTCCTCTCCATGATTAGCCCAGGTAGTATGGAGGGGAATAAAACCACTTCTCCTCCTACTTCAACCACCTGCGATAGAGTTGGGTATGTGAGCCAAGCCTGCTCAATTAGCACAAGTAGGCAGGAGATCCAAGTATTTAATAGTTCAGTGATTTTTCAGACCCTGGACTTGGGCTACTGGAAAGAGGCTTTCTTGGATAGTTTGTAAAATCTGGAGCTTCTGGTGCCCATTATAGAAGGGGTGCCTTCCTGAGAAGAAAGCCAACACAGAGGAAGCAGAACTAAACACTGGAAAAGGAAACATTCCTGATGACGTCGTTTGAGGGCCTGGATCCAGCCATGCCTGAGGCAGATACACCTGGGTTAGTCAGTTCCTTGAGCCTACAACAAATTCACCTTTAGGTTTAAGCCCATTTAATTAGAGTTTTTGTCACTTGCAAAAGATGGCACCCTGCTGATACAGTAGTGATAAAAATAAATTTCCTTGTTAACTGAGCTAATATAAAACCATTTAGTATAGGGCCTGACACATAATAGAAACTCAGCTGATAATAATGCCTTCTCTTCACAATTTTTCTTTGGTTGTATCACACAGACACACACACACACACACACACACACACTCTCTCTCTCTCTCTCTCTCTCTCTATATATATATATATATTTTTTTTTTTCCCCCCCCCCAGAGAAGAAGCAATTAAACAGTCTGAAACCAAAACCAGAAGTTAGGTGACAAGCAATTTTATTTTGCAAAACAATCACTATACAGCAACAAATACATTTGCAAATTTGATTGAAAAACATGAACTAACTACAACCAGCCATTGAAGAAATGCCTTTCTATGGTAACAGGCTCTAGAATTATCAGAAGAAAGAAACCCCCCACAGATTTGTAACGGTGTGTTGGAACCTCGGAATCCCAGCATACAGAGTATACTTTTTGTTGATTTTTTTTTCTTTTTGCTAAAGTTGAAGTAGATTTTTATGATTGACATTTTATTTTCTGAGTTTGAAAATAAGCTTTTTCCTGCAGAGGGTCTTGGCCTTCACCTACACACCCAAGCTAAAAATCCTAGGTGTTAAAAAAACCAAAACATCAATGCTGATTTTAGTACATCAGTCTTTGAAGGAATGCTTAGAATTTCCTTACCAAGCCATGAATCTACTTTATCTCTGCTATTTAGACCATGAGTAGTTTATTTTCCTTACTGTGGCTTGAAAAATAGAAGAAAACTATAATTGCAGCTATGACAAAATCAACCATATTCAGATTATTTCTTTAATAAAATACTGCCATGATGTTACATATTGGCTGATTATCCCACTCTTGCTGTATTACTATAGGGGTGCGTGTGTGTGTGTGTGTGTGGAGAAGGTCACTAAGATCAGTACATTCTTCCATTTAATGACAGCCTTCTTCAGCCATACCTAGCTGGTGTTACATAGGTGTCACGCTTGTAGGTGGGATGTCAGCCCATCACCCTGCTGGAACTCAGCAGGTGAATCCAGAGAGAGTTGGTTCCTAAATGAACGTGGCCTTTGAAACTCATCATGAACTCGGGTCTTTGCTGCATCATTATGAGGTATCCAATTTTTGGTTGCAAGTGACCCAGAGAGTGAGTTCATTGGAGAAGATGGCCTTTTAACTCTTCACAGCTCTGGATTACTTATGTATTCTTATACAGTTTCTCAAAGGCTAAAGCCAAAGAGAAACTGGCATAGTAGATCTAGAACTGAGACCACGAAGATTTCATTCCTAGATCAGCGTATGTGTGTCCCCACAGAAGTGGTGCTCAGAAAGCTTAATTTGAGTCATTATCTTGAGAGTGAAGGCAAGATGGGTGTTACCCCTTAACCCCACAAGAAGACATTTAACCTATGTGTTTCTCTCCTTACTGGTACAAATGATCAGTTCCTTTCTGCTAATTTTAATCAAGAATTGTATTCCATACAAAACAAGAACATTTATTCATTATAATTTTGCTGTGATTAGAAATAAACATTTGTTTTAATGCCAAATCTAATAGTTCGGTGCCTCCTATAATCTTTATTTTTGACATGTATTTTTAATAAACTGAATTTTAGTATGTAGAATGTTTACTTAGTGTTAACATATAAAAAGTTTAAAGAATGTCGAGAAAAATACTTATTTCACAGGTTAAAACTTTTCTAATGAGCTGTTAACTTCTTTCTAGAGAACTTTAGTCACTATTTAAGACCATCAAAACATGTAAGAAAATACCCTGTCTCCACACACCTTTCTTCTATTTTCTGCTGCACTTCAAGGGAAGCTGATTAATAAATTGCCCCGACTGGTCAAATCAAACCTCATAGCAATTAATAGGCAGAAAATAGACATATCTATGATCCTACTCAGTAGCTTCTAAGGTTTTGACTGTCATACAAAGTAACAGATTTATAAGTGGTTTAAGACATGTTTGCCTGCATAAAATCTCTTAGCCGAGACTGACTGGTGTGGGTTTGCTCCTAAGGTTTCTTGTATGGGTGTTACATTGGTTGCCATATCCACTTGGTCACCAAAAAAGCACCTGTATCCCTGTCTTTGCATCCCTTGGCTTTTGTCATAGATGTTTCTGTACTTCCCCGTTGCCTCAGTCCATCTGTATCATTTCCTCCTTTATATTCAGGAGCTGATTTGGCTCAGAGAGATCATATGCCTAGTGGACCATTTGATTTTAATGGTTTAAATCCAGCCCGCCAGCCCTGAGCAAGAAAAAGAACAGATGAAATACTAAAATGTGTCCATCCAGCCTGGTAGCTCTTTGCTTTAATCAGGCCATTGACTATTTCATTGCTTATTTGTTAAGTCTAAGATGAATGATTTATTTGTAAGTCTAAGATGACTTATTTGTAAGTCTAAGATGAATTCCTAAGTGAGAGGAATTAATTGATTTGTGATTTCTAGACTGTACATACAGTCAGAAAATTATTATCTACTGATAAATAATACTAGATCACATTGTGTTACTTTACAGAATGCAATGTTAGAGTCTTGGAAAAAAACTGATTTAGATACCTGTGTCTCAAGTGTTTTCTAGCTATAGTGTCTCAAAGTGTTTTATTTTTTCTTTCTGATCAGGGGACCTTTACTTTGGGTAAGAAAGACAAACATATTCTATTAGAGAATTTAATAACAGATACTATTTGGAAAAATGAGAAAACATGTTTCAAATTTATGTTAGTTTCAACTTTCAACTTTAGCAAATGGAAAAAAAATAAAAATAAAGAAAAATCTTAAGTTGGTTTTGTGACTAATAGGAATAAAACCCAAACTATCCTGTGATTAAAAATGAGCTAAATCCATAATCTCAAACCAACAATCTGTAAACCCTTTCATGTATAACTGGACCCACCCCCACAAACTCCATGTTGGTGAAAGCAAAGAAAAATAATTTTTTCTAGCATCACGGGAGAGACTTGTATCTGGCACTAAAACAGGGTTACGGCTTTGAGTTGTTACAGAAAGCAACTTCATGCTAAAATTTTTTGTCTTTTTTAATGAATTTTTTTTTAAATAGGGAGAGAACCCTGCTAACATCTACTTTCACATACCTAAAATTGCAACACCAAAGGGTGCAGGAGACACAGATACTGTGAATAAAGAAGTATAATATTCAAGTATATGAGGAAGTATCACAAATGGCCACAGAGAAATATATATATATATTTATATCTATAATACTGTATCAAACAGACGGAAAGGGGGTGTGAAACTGGTAGTGTGGACACAAATCTAGCTGATCAACTGACATTCTAATCAGACACGAGTCCATCCTAATGAAAGTGCATCATTCCTAAGGGATGCACTTTCGTCCCACTTCCTCAACCACAGCTCAAATGCTTTGCAACTATTTTTTAGTAAGTTAAATAATTTATTGGATTGACATACTCTGATATAATTATCCAGGTCCCAAATGTTAATAACTTAATTGAATCTTTCTTCCCATTTATACAAAATAACACTTTAAAAAAACTTATTTCTTACATGCTCTTCCCTTCCTGCAATCAGACTCCTTGGTTTAATTTAACCTGAAATAAGTTACAATGGGCAGTTTTTAATCTTCTCACTCAGAAACAGAATAGTGAAATGAGCAGCTTGGATTTTAACAAGGCCTTCAGAATGTAGTGGATAGCCTTCAGGCACATGAAAGGTAAAAATGCAATTTTTAAAATAATAATACTCCATGCAAAACAGAGCAGAGCAAAAGTAATTGTCCAATTGAACCCATGTAAAGCCAGTGTCTTCCTGTTGCAAATGGAAATCAGGTCAATTTCTGCATGTACTATTCATTTTTTAAAATATAAAATTGTAACAATTACTACAGTTTGGGGATGAGATTATTTATTTTATGGTTTATAAAGAATGAATATAACACCTGCTCAGAGCCCACTCCTGCCAAGAGCTCATGCCTAAATAGTATTACTTCAACGCTAGATGAGAAATATTCACAAGCCCTGCTTAGCGAGTGCAGCAGTGACATCCTCAGCCAAAGTGGCAAGCTGAGGAGATTCGAGCAGGTTGATGCTTCCAGATGAGGAGACGTTGCTGAGTCGCCGGGGTGATGCCACGCTGGATCTGCCTGGGGACTGTGTAATGATCTCAGCCCCATGGTCCACACGGGCTTTAGCATGCTCTCTGAAGTTCAACTTTTGGCTGTCAATCTGTTTAAGACAAGCATCAGTCCTCGTTAATGCATGTATCTTAACTTGCCCCTACCTCTTTCTCCATCTCCCAGGGCTGATATTAACGATTTCTATTCACCTATGTTATCCCTCCTTCTTATTTTTCCAGGTCTTCAGTCTGAGACCTCTTTTGGGAGGAGTATTTCAGAATAATTTTTTTTAAAAAAGACAAGATTGGCTCATAACTTTGTTTCTTACCTTGACATTACCACCTCCAGGTACATGATGAGCATTATCAAGAGAACCAACTTTAGCTTGGGCCTTTTCTTTGAAATCTAGTTTTACACTCTCAATTTTCACACGTCCACCACCTATGAGGGAAGAAATGCCTTGATATAATTATATCTGGCATTTGTGATAACTATTTCTCAAAAATGATTGCAGTAGACTATTGCAAACCACAAATTTATTAACTGTACCATCCCTCCAACCATATATGTAAAAGGAATCTTTTAGAATTTCTAGCCCATATCATTTTTCCGTATGAACCAAGATTATAACACCCTTCTTATACCATTATATGGATTGCTTTACATATTAATACCTTTCTCCTTTATCCATGCCTAATCTAAGAAATCAGAGGGGCTTTGCTTTTTGGTACAACAAAAACTCTAAAAATTAGCAAAATGAAAATATCTGATTTGAATCCTTTCTAAAAGTTGGAACATGTCTCTTATTTATAAGGGGCCAAATTAAATTTAAGTGAAACTCTTCTTTACTCTTCATGGTAACAGGTTACTTATCCAAAGAAGTTTTAGGCTGGAAATGGTGCACCCATGGGCAATATATTCATTTATAAATGTTCAACATTGAAGCTTTCACTGATGAAATGAGTCAGGAGCTAAGTTGTTTATAACTAGTAAACTTTAAAAGCCTCCTATTTTAATTCACATATGGAGTGACAGATCAGCATCTCTTCCTTGTACAGATGCCATAGGATCAATTTGATGCTGACCTTGATCTGATAATATTGAGACAGAGTTTTGACCATGCCATTTTTCCTAATGCTAACTAGTCTAGAACTCTGATCTGCTGATTGTAACAGTGCCATGCTTCACTCTTCAGTGTAGTCTTCCTCATCCCTACATGTCTTTCTCAAGCTTTCAAATATGGAAAGTTTTTCTGCACTGGGTAGGTTATTTGTTGTACTTCAGCCTGAACTTGACCATTTCTGAGTGTCTGCTGATGTGTTTGATCTAGATAAATAGCAAAATTAGACTCCTTATTTACTCATCTCCACCTAAGAGATTTGCTTTCACTTTAATGACAACTTGGTTTTGAGCACATGTGTTCTTCTGGAAAGCCAGTGGTAATGTAGGTCTCACTTGTTGGTTGTGATGTATTTTATAGATTACATATTTCAAAGCTGCTCCAGTATGCATGTTGAGTACATAAAGTGTATCTTGCTTGGGAGTTTGATTTTGAAAAAATGCCTGATGGGCTGTAAGGAAACATGAAAGACATTTTGCAGTTTTTGATTCCTGCTGCTCATGTATCACTGTAGATGAAAGAGAAGGTTTGTTAGGGCTTCACAGGTCTCTTAAGCCACGAGGTGTTTTTCTCATGCAATATCTAGACATCTATGTTAATACCCAACTGCCTGGCCAGGGACCTCTTGAAATTACATGGTTACATTATAGATTGTATTACATAATTAGAATACATTTTGGAGAAACATCCATTCGTTCTTCTTTTAAGCCTTAGAAACTGTATGATGTTATTTAACTCGTGTTTAGAGACATGTAGTTATCCTTCCCATAAAATATGCCTTACTTTATGGAGTGTTATTTTTCCCACATTTTACCTGGCCATATAGGTATCACTTGTTGGTTGTGATGATATTAACATGATTTGTAATAATTCATAACAACAGACTTATTTTGGCTAGAGGTTAGAGGATATTGTACTTTCAACTAGATAAAAACAACTTCTTTGTGATCTTATTTTTGGTAGCCTCTGATAGAAATCACTTACTTTTCTGATTATATATTGTGTCAATATAATCTTGTTAAATTTTTGCTGTCATTTCTAATTTTTATTTTTAGAGTCAGGGTCTGCTCTGTTGCTCAGGCTACAGTAAAGTGACATGATCATAGCTCACTGCAACCTTGAATTCCTGGGCCCAAGTGATCCTCCTGCCTCAGCCCTCTGAGTAGCTAGGACTACAGGTGTGTAGTCCTACCACACTCAGCTTAGCTTTTTTATTTTTATTTTGTAGAGATGGAATTTCAGTATGAACTGTCTTCTGAGAGGTGAAAATAATAATGTATTATTGACTCAAAAAATATTCAGAAAAGGAAGCTTAAGAAGTCTATTTCTGATGGAGTCCCTCTAGAAATTCTTATGCGATTGTTAGAGAATCCAGGTATCTTAAACTTGGAGATCTATGTCTTTGATTTTTGAAGGTTTCTGGCACCCATCAGGAACAGTAATTGTGAAAGACTATTTATCTTTGTCAAGCTTTATAAGTGAAGTTGAGAAGAACAGGTATTTCAATCTGTGCCTCACAGTGTTTATTTTCTTTATTTTCTCTTTAGATATTCCATATTCAAAGTAACTTTATGAAAAGGTTGCTGCTGCCAAGGATTAATGCTTACACTTCTTTATGAATTTAGTGATTTGATTCAGTTATAATAGAAGTAAGAGCTAAATTTAGAAATAGGTGGGAGTCCATGACAATGGACTTTTATGACCAACAAATCATACACAGAATAGTTCCTTATCTGTATAAAATTTTTCTGTACATCTGGTTCACAGGTGAATTTCACTAACTATATCCTTACTGTCTAGAATTAAAGAGTCCAGCATTTTCTTTTGTATTCTGAAAGAAAATAGGCAGTGTGGCCAAGTATTCCAGCCATGCTGTTGACGTAGCAGTACAAAGTCAATTCAGTGTTTGTAGACTTCAGATGTGGACAGGGGAACTTCAAAGATATGCAGTATGGAACAACCTTCCTGCTGTCTCATCAAAAACAGAAAAGCTAATTCCATGGTAGCAGTTCTGAAACGGGTAGTGAAGACTTCTTCATAAATGTAGTTTCTAACGCTTTGACTTACTTTATAACGAATTCCCATTGACAAAATGAATCCTGGTTTCCAGATGTTTTCAATACATTTATCCATTTCGAAATTCATTCTACCTATCTTTGCTTTTCAACCTATAACTTATTAATGATTTTCTCCTGACTAGCAGAATAATTGTCAGCTAACGGCTCAATTACTATTATACCTTGTTTCTGAAAACATCTGAGACAATTGGAAAAAACCTATTACTTTGTTTTCATGTTAAGATGCCAAACACAGAGAGTTAACACCACTTGCTTTCCTTTTGTTCTCAAAGGGATAAATGAATTGTGTCAAAATATTCTCAAGAAAATTACAAATTTGATAGTCATCTATTATTACATATCTGTGGAGGTAGAGTTTTTTCCTTTGAGACAGGGTCTTGCTCTGTTGCCCAGGCTGGAGTGCAGAGGTGTGATCATAACTCACTGCAGCCTCGAACTCCTGAAACTAAGTGATTCTCCTGCCTCAGCCTCCCAAGTAGGTAGGACTGCAAGCATGCACCACCATATCTGGCTTATTTTTGTTTTCCATTTTTTTTCCTTGAAGAGACAGGGTTTCCCTGTTTCCCAGTCTGTCTCAAATCCCTGGCCGTCAGCAATCCTCCTGCCTTGGATTCCCAAAGTGCTTGGATTATGGACATGAACCAATATGCCCACCTCTATGGAGGCAGAATTTAACAAAAACATGTAACACATGATATTCAGAAAAATGGCTCATAATATGTTAGATTCACACTTTAAAGGGAGAAAATCTCCAGTAAGTATGAATACAAATTCTACTTTAGAGCACTAGTTCTATGAGCTATTCTCAGAAACCAAAAGGGGTTCATGGCCAAATACATTGAGGAAAAATTGCATTCTGCCGGGGATTCATGGTGTTTACTGACCTAATAAAGGATCTGAGAAATTCACCAGATAAATATATTTCTTCAGCTTTGCAAAGCACAATCCTTATTTTATATAATGTAGGAAATCAATTTTATGAAAAAAAATCCTTGGAAATGCTACCTCCATCAATATTATATATGAATACATGATCGAGTGTATTTTATAGATTACATATTTCAAAGGAGCTCCAAAAGCATGTTGAGTACATAAAGAAAATGCATCTTATGTACCTTTTAATTTTTAATTAAAATGTGTCTTATTCATGGTAATTGGGTTCACTTGTCCCCAATGAAGATGCCTTAAAATTTTCAGTTTTACTTTCTATTAATAAAAATGTGAAGTATCCAGATTTAAAATCATCCTTCCAATTAGGTATTTTGCAACAAAAACAAAGTTTTCTGGTCTATTTCTTGATTCCCATTAAATATTTCTCACACTACTAAAAATTATTTATTTACCTGGCCTGTGGCGGATGTTCTTCAGAGAGCCACATTTGGATGTCACATGACTTAGGTCTATTTTCTTGGTAACAATTTGTACCTGTGTGAACCACATAAAACATGCTTAAAATAGTTCAAACATGAACAAAAACCTAAGCCCCCACATAAAATTTAGAAACATACCCAAACTCACAACATGCAACAACATAGCTAGAAAAACAAATTGAAGTCCACACACAAACACAGGAAGACATAATTTTCCATATATTCTCCCACATGTTTGGATTGGAAAGAAGACCCCAAGCAAAAGAAAACCCTAGAATAGAAGATTTTATTAGTTGAAAGCAGATTATGATACAGGAGGATAGAAACATATTAATTAAGGCAAGCTTCCACTCAGAGAACTAAGCAACACTGTGTTAAACCTTTCCATAAGCAAAGAGCCAAGAGAAGTGATGCATTATTCTTTATAAAGTGATCTTTACATAAAAGTGACCAATGTTGCTCAACGTGCTCAAAACATCATACGTTGTTTTAAGATACAACAAGAAGTTTTGAATGTGCTTTCCTAAATTGTTATTACATTGTCATATCTTAGCTAGAAGTTTTTCTTTCATACCAAATTATAAAATGATAGCAATATGTTTTTCTTCTATGTATTTTCCTAAAAATATTTCCTCTTCCAATATTTGAAGCAGTGTATCTCCAAGTTTGGTCCATTGTCATCTGCCTGAGAGTATTTGGGAATTACTGAATCAGACATCATGAGGACAGGGCCAGGAAATCTGCATATTTAAACAAATGATTCTTTCCTAGAGGAAATTTTACTGAGTTAGATATCATGGGGATTGGTCCAGGATATCTGCATTTTTTGAACAAGTGGTTCTTTCCTAGAGGAAATTTAAGACTATTGTTTTGGGAGATAAAGCTCCTTTACTGACTTTCAGATCTTTAGTTATCCTAGTTTATCCTTTTCCACTTAGGTGTTTTGTCCAGCAGCACCTGTATAAAGGATAGCCAGGTCCATCCTCTGATACACTCAAGGTAATTAACAGGACTGGGGCTGCTTTTATGAGAGTACCACATGGTGTGCACTTACAGTTTGGGGAATAGGAAAGAGTGGCAACCACATAAGTGTAAAGATTAACCCCAGGGCTTAGCCTAGCATACTTGAAGGCGCCCAGCAACCATTGCTATGGACTTTCAATGACAGTAACAGTTTTATGCTCAGTGAAGCTATGATTATCAGGCAACAGCTGCTTGTAGAAGGCACTTGCTGGTCTCTCTCTCTCTCTCTCTCTCTCTCTCTCCCCCCGCTTCACTGCTTAATTCTACTTCTGCCCAGTTGGGGAGCAAGTAGCCAAGAGTTACTAGACAGGTGGGGATTCTAGACTTGACACCCTGTAAGTTACTTGAGTCACAGATGATCAGAAACTGCAGTGACAGGATCCGTAGAATACAGTTAGCCTGATCACCTTTTCAAAATTACTCTTATTTTATAAAGAACCGTCAGCTTGAGTTTGACCATTTCACCTCTGCCTCAACCGTACTTAAAAAATATGAAGTCATCTTTCCCTTCCCCTCACAGGATATTATTTACACTCAATGAAAGAGACAGGAAAAAAAAAGCTAAAGTGTATACTGGGACTTGAATCCTTTCACTTTGAATTATAGATGAACCATGCTTCACCAGTTTTGTATTATTCAAAATGATATCCTTATTTTCATAAATAATGAACCACTGAAGATTGACATTACATACTTTGGGCATTTACAAGTATATCAGTCTTTGCCTCATGGGTAATTTAAATGGAGCTAGAAAGTATGTGCCCAGCTGACTTTTGCAGTGGAGTAGAAACAATGTGAGAAAATACACTGAAGACAAAAAGGCCAGCAACAAAGTTGGCAAGTGAAGTGGGTTTGCCATTCTCCAGAAAACCAGGGTGCATTCCATCGAGGTTTTCTTTCCCAAATCAAAGCAAGAAATTCCCTGATGATCTTACAGAGAAGGATAGGAAGTCCATCACTGAAAATGCAAGGCTACAAGCTATCATACCAGGGAGACATGTGGAACAGCAGTGAGAAAGGAGCAACGTGTTGGAAAGAGGTGGGAAAGAAGGTAGGGTGCTGGTTGTGCAGGTGGCTCCACGCAATCAGGACAGCTTTCTAATAGGTGCTTCTACTTACATTTCCGCCCCCAGCCGAATGTTTGATGTTATCCTTGGAACCACATCTGGACTGAACTTTGCTAAAATCGATCTTCTTGTTTAAAATCCTAACCTAAAAGGAATTGGAGGTAACTTCACTGTGCATTTTTCTATCAAGATGCTGAATAAAGGGAACCAGAATGGGTAGTATCAAAGAGGCTTTAGATTTCCTTCCACCTACATACTCATTTAAGAGAAAATCTAACACTGGAACTGAAGAGCAGTTCTATCATGCAAGTCTGAGTCCCTGATCCTCTGTACCCACAAGGGTCAAATGGAAGAGAGCCTTAGAAATCCCACTGTACTTAAATGTGATTTGGCAACAGTTGGACGGATTGAAAAATAATACTTGAAGCATCTGTGATGTTGTCAGCAACACTGGGACTCAGGCTCACTCTACGTAAGGGTCAATAGTAGTTAATGCTAAACCTTGTTCAGCACAAGACCCCAGAGGATATGCCATTCCCTTGCCTCATCAGAGTCAACCATCACAATTATTAATAACCTTGTATGCTTGACTGTTCTTTTGGTCCACAAAGCACAAATGGGGCTCATACATGGTGTGGGTGAATGCGTTACATAAGAGTTCTCAGTCATCTAGCATAAGAATCCCCGGTTGCCCAGGAGGGTCAACAAAGAAATTTGGGGCTTCACAATTCCCTTGCAGGTTTGGCTCAGTGGCCTCCTAAAGGCCTCTTTCTGGCAACTGCTCAAGAGCAGCCATTTTCCATGGATGATCATGTGGAAGCATTATTTCCATTTTTAGAGGCAAGAAAACCAATGCCCATTGGTTAGCTGACTTGTAACTAGGTCATACAGACATAGGTCAGGCCTTGACTGAGGCCAGCAGATTTGAGGTTAGGTGTTTTATTTCTATTTTGGGGAAGTCAAACATTCATCTTGAAGACAACAGCAGATCCAGATCTGGAGGGATGTTACTCTGGTTTCATGTACAATGTTACAGCTTTCGACTTCTTTTAAATGTCTTTTGAACCTTGCAACTTTTGGAGGACAGATAAGCAATGTAAGCATGGAAAGAAAGCTTTATTTTTCTTATTGTGGTTATTGTTATTTGTTCATTTTGTTTTACTTTGGCTACTTCTACTCTATTCTCCTCCCTATCTCTGGAATAAAGAAAAAAAAATCACATTTTCAATGCTTTAGGGGAAAGTTTATCTTCTTATTTAAAAAAATCTATATAAATTTACCCTAGACACACAGCCATCTACAAGAATATCAACACATCTTTTGGTATTTCTAAAAAAGAATAAAAAATTCAAAAAGACATTGAATCTTGACTGTTTTTAACTAGGCAAAGCTTATTTCACAGTGCCTGCCTAACATTGACAAGATAGCTTGTCCCTTGCAGGGAAATATCATTGACAGCTCTCATCAGCAACCCTAGGGGAGAGCCTCTTGTCAAAATTTGAATTCAGAAAATGGAATGATTGGGCTACTCTTTAGGGCAGACTAAAAATTGCAACTTAAACAGGGTTGAAGATATTTACAGAGTTTATAACAACACATATAGCTGCACTATAAATATTTTATATAAGATGGAGATAGTTTTAAACCAATAAGACCATTACATGTAAAACTTCATATAGAAATTATTTTCTGAAGAGAAATGCTTTTATTTATGGCTATATCACCATAAATGTGCCCATTCCCATTTAATCTTGGAATTTAAGCAAGGTTGGGCTTGGTTAGTACTTGGATGGGAGAAAGCAAATAATTTTGACTAATTGTTTCTAATAATAATAGTTTAAAGGATTCTCAATAAGTATCTAATTATTTTGGCAATGACATACACATGATGTGAGCTATTTTACTAATCCCTGAGAATATACAGGATTTCATACTATGTTTAAAAATTTAGAGATCATTAGAGTACCAAGCTAGTGACTCATTTCCAAGTAATCACAAGCCAAACATGAAATCTGATTCACTTGTTACAGAAATGGAAATTCTAAATTCAGTTGCATAAATCTGTTTGACATTAACATTTAATCCACTGTTTGACAATTTTTATGATTTCCAAAACAAATGATTCAATTTTAAATGATCATACTGCCAGCAATATTGAGAGATTATTTAGAATCTTATAGTCCTACAACTTAAAAGCTGACTTCTGTTGATTTTACACAGATTTTCTATAGAAAAAAACCTGCTTGACTCTCTTGCAGGTAGACTTTCTCGACCTATGTCTGTTCAACTTGTAATATGAAGCTATCCCATCCTTTCACATGCATTACTGACTTTCTTTACATATTTCCATATTGCAATAGCTTGAAAGTATAATTTTTTTGTCTAAAATGAGGTAAAATATGACAGAATAAATAAACTGACCCCTCTAGACCTTCGTTTTCCATAGTGCTTAGTGGTAGGGTAGAGAGAAGCATAAACCTCTTTGGATAGTGGACATTTCATGCTTATGGAGAGTTACACTCTAGCTTGACAACTTGTACCTGAATGTTTGCCTATTCCATGTGACTCATATTTATGCTGTAGCAAAATTACTTCACACCAAAGATCTCTAGGGTAGACTGCAAATAATTAGCATCTTAGAGTTCATTCCACAAATAATAGCAGTCCTCAGAAATCATTTCATAAAATAGAAAAATATATGGCTGCTATGAAGGAGAAGGCCATATTTCAGAGCAGCTTTAAATAAATATAGAAGAGTTACAGTTTTAACTCTGGGTTCTATGGATGAATCAGAATAAAGATTTATTTCTTTGGGAAGGGATTTTCAGTTTTAGAAAAACATTTGTTTTTCTAAAAACCAATGTCAAGGGAAAATTATTTTAACATCTTACAGATTGTCTAGAAAAAAATAATGAAATTCTATTTAACAAATAAACTAATTTCTGTGCTTGTGATATGAAGGAAAAAAGTCTGAATAATAATTGCTCAAAATTTTCTCTAAATCAAATTTTAATCTCTGCCAATTTATTTCAAGTAAAATTTTTACTTGCACTATTAATACAAAATAGGATAATTTGAAAGAGTGTGACAATATTTGTTTCTATCACAGTGGAAGTTAAAAATATTATATTAATCACCTGGATCATCTTCCTATAGCTCTCCCTATTTGAAATTCCCCCAGCACCCTAATTCTTATTAAATACATCAAAACTTCTTAGTGAGACAGCCAGGGGTCTCAGCAATTCCGATTCTTCAGACTTCCCTGTTAATTTACATTTTGGCCAAACTCTGCCACATTCTATGCTTTAAGGCCTATGTTTACATTTCAAGTTCATCCCTGTGTTTTATGCTATTATCTCTCCCTAGGGTGCCCTCATTCCAAGTTGAGTCTGTAACAGATTATTCTCCAAGGTTTGGTGCAATCAATACCTCCAGTGGAAGCTTGCAAAAAGGATTTTAGACTCATGAATTTTATGCAAATATTGGTGACTTGTTTGCAGAAACAGTTGGCTTTCCATTCACATAAGGGTCATGTAGCATGGAGGGTTGTATAAGCGTAGGTTAATAAAATTGAAAAATTCATCAGAATTTCTTTATTTTAATTTTGACTAATTTTTCTATTCTTCCACTATGATAGAAAAGAATATTGTAATTTCTTTCTGGATATTCCTTGGGTGACTTTAGTTGGCTTTTATCATGATGGTTTAATTGAAGTGATCTGCCACTCTACTCTCTCTCTCTGCATATATTTAATTGTTCCTTTCAATAAATTAACATCTTTCCCCCTAAAATAGGGTTGCTCTAAAAAAGGATTAAAAGAGAAAATGCAGGATTTGCCTGCAGACAAGAAAAAAATCTCTCTTACTAGTCAATTAGAAATATGAAACATGTAAAATGAAAGAAAATACATCATTAACATAGAGTCTTTAGTACAACGATTTGTAAGTCAGAGGCATCATCCCACTGTCAACTTGAATTTCTTGAGCAATGAGACTTTGATTTTGTTTTTAACTGACACTCTCTGACACTGCTTTCTTTCTCAAAAGACCCATATGTCATCTCAAGGTGGTGAGATGTGGAGGGTGACTAGGAGTCAAAAATTGGGATTTGTCTAGACCCCCTCAAGCATCCTTTAAGTATGAACCTAGGTTGAAACACCATTTCTCTCTTCCTCCATCTGAGTTGTCTCAGAAAGAATGCTTTTGTGAAAGGGGAGTGAACAGTGACACTGAAATGTCTTCCCTTTAACCTTGCAGAGGATTAAGCTTCTCCTTTGGAAAGCTTCTCCTTGTCTCTTAGGATGGCATAAAATTAAGCCCTCCTTTGTTCTTGCATTATGAAAACACTTTCTCTCTCTTTCAAAGTATTTTTTATTTCATAATATTCATTTTAATGAAAACCATCTAGCCTCTGTATAATCCTGAGGTATCCCATATTGAAACAAAATATGAATACATCAGATATTCCTGAAGGTTGAAAGTTCTCTGGCACACATGATGTTCTTCAAAGAATCATTTGTTAAAAACTTTGCCCTCTGGTTAAAATATATGCAAACACTATAATCAGAATTTTAATCAACCTTGCCTACATATTTCTTTAAAATTTTTATATCAAATATAAACATAAGTATATTTAAATACACATTTATTAATACACATAAGTATATATTAAATACACATTTAGGGAGATAAAACAGTTTATGTCAAAATGCACAATTCCACAAAACTTTGAAAGAAAAGTTAGAGGGACCAATTTTCTCTGCAAGCTGTGTCACATGGCACAGAAAGTAGATCCACACTGAAAAACTTTGGGATAAATAGATAATGCTGAAGAATTTTGAAAGTATGTTTTAGTCAAACAGACATTAATGAGTTTAGTCACTAGAGCCACTGTTAAGTATTTATAAATGGTCTCTCAGTGGGTGCTGGAAGAAACATTATGAGTACAACAGTCATCGTGATTCATGAAAATGAACAGCTAATAAACTTTTCCCAATTTGTATACTTTTTGATATTAATTTTTTTTCTTGTTTAAATAGTTAAGAAATTCTATGGAATAGTGGACCAAGTCAGTGAACAAAGTAACTTTAAAATAGTCCGCTCGGTTATCTGAAAACAACCTCATTAGTTCCTATGTCTCTGTTTG